TTCAATCGACTGCCGTTCGGATATTCCCTGGCCCCACGCACTTTTTCAAAGTGTGTGGAGACAGCGCTGGAGCCGCTGCGCAGAGGAGGGATGAGAGTGTTATTTTTTCTGGACGACCTGCTGTTGCTGGCTCGCTCCAGAGAGGAAGCTGCTTTACAGACGGTACAACTTGTATCTCCCCTGTCAAGCCTGGGTTTCATAATCAATTGGGAGAAGAGCTCTCCTCTTCCCTCCCAGATCATCATGTATCTGGGAATGGAATTCAACTCAGCCCGCATGAGAGCACGACTCTCACAGCGGAGAGTGGAGAATCTGACAGCTCTCCTCAGGCGCGTCACACCCGGCAGGGTGGTGACAGCCCTTTCCGTGATGCAGCTGTTGGGCATGATGTCAGCTGGTCACGTGGTGATTCCCCTGGGTCTCCTTTACATGAGGAGACTTCAGAGGTGGTTTATTCGCCTGCGCATCGACCCTGTGCGTCAGAGGAGACGCATGGAGTGCATTCCTCCATCCGTAGGTTTGGATCTGACCTACTGGAAAAATCCCCACGTCCTGTCAGTGGGGGTCCCCCTCGGCAGAATGACGTCACACACATCGGTGTTTACAGACTCATCGCTCTCAGGGTGGGGGGGAACATGCATGTCGCAGGCAGTGGGGGGACAGTGGCCGCCTCACATGTCCCTTCATATAAACACGCTGGAATTACTCGCCATATGGAGAGTAATCCAGCACTTCGCCCCGTTGCTGTGGAATCATCATGTGTTGATTCGAACAGACAACAAGACGGCGGCAGCCTACATAAATCGTCAGGGAGGTGTACGATCAGCGCAGCTGCTGGACACAGCCAGACGGCTGTTGTGCTGGGCGCGCACACATATACTCTCGATCAGAGCAGTATATATTCCCGGAGAGCTGAACAGAGGGGCAGACCTCATGTCCAGAGGAGGTCCTCGACAAGGGGACTGGAGCCTCCACCCCGAGCTGGTCTCCCAAGTGTGGAGCAGGTTCGGGAGAGCGGAGGTAGATCTGTTCGCTGCACGCGGGAACGCGCAATGTGCTCTCTGGTTCTCCCTGACGGCCCGTACACACAGCAGCTTTTGGCGATTTGTCCACCGCTTCCAGCGCGTCTCCGCCCATTGACTTTGAATGGGGATGACGTCACTTTCCCTCGCTTGTCGCCGAACTGCATTGTGGGGGGGCGAGGCGATTTCCAGGATTTCCAGGATGTTCAGGATTCCAAAGTTGAACAATGTTCAACTTTTGAGGCTGAGCTGGAAGCGCTAGCCAATCAAACCGCGTGCAAGCTGGGAGAACCAGACCCGCAGTTCATTTCTATATTCCACAAAAATGGAGGAGAACTTAGTTATTGCGTTAGCAAATCACCCGGTTCTTTATGACCAGTCCCTATTTACTTACCGGGATACAAACCGGAGGAACCATGGAGGGAGGTGGCAGAGGCAGTGGGTGAAACTGGCAGGTTTTCGCTTGTTTGGGGATTTTATATCCAGTTTACTTCGTTGCTAGTTTACTTTGTTGCTAGCAAGCATAGACAGTATCATTAGCCAACATGGAATGTAGCATAAAATAGCACCATAAACATTAATCTCATAAATGTTCAAAATGTTAAGAAAATAAATGTTCATCATAGCCCTTCCTATTTGACAATAGTGTAGAAGAACCGGGTTTTTTTGCTTTGTATGTCGGGGGCGGGATATTCATGTGATATTCATGTGATTGGTTGTTGGTCGCGAAATCCCCAAGCTGTCAGACACGCCCAGCTCCAGGATTTTCAAGATTTGGTCAAAGCTGCTGTGTGGACACACCGTGAGAAGGCAGGATCACCCTCCTCTGGGGGTGGACGCGTTCGCACACAGACCTTGGCCCAGGGTGTTACTGTACGCTTTCCCACCAGTCCCTCTGATCCCTCGGTTCCTGGACCGAGTGCAGGAGGAGCGACTGATAGCGGTCTTAATAGCCCCGAAGCGCACGGGAGCGTCCTGGTTTCCCTGCATACAGAGGATGCTGTCAGGGAGACCGTGGGAAATTCCGTGGCGGGGGGATGCTCTCTCCCAGGCGGAGGGAGCAATCAGCGGTCACCCAGTGTTAGGCCAACGTTTGTGGGCATGGCCCCTGAACGGGAACACTTAGAGGGGCTCGGCCTCTCTCAAGATGTTGTGAGTACTATTCAGGGATCTAGAGCCGCGTCCACCAGGGCGTCTTACACAGCCAAATGGACAGCGTTCCAGCGTTGGTGGGTAGGGAAAAGCGTGGACCCCGTTGCGTGGACGTGCTGTCATTCCTCCAGCTGTTGCTGGACAGGAATTTGGCCTATAGCACAATAAAAACATATGCGGCTGTCATTTCTTCATGCCATGGAGGTTTTGGGATCAGCACGGTGTTTAGTCACCCTCTGACAAAACGTTTCCTACGAGGAGTACAGAGACTCAGACTGATATCGCGCGCTTTAGCGCCTCAATGGGATTTGGCTGTAGTGCTGCGCGCACTAAGTAAAGCCCCTTTTGAACCATTGGATCAGGTTCCCCTGAAGTTTCTGTCAGCCAAAGTAGCTCTGCTCCTGGCTCTGACATCAGCTAAAAGGGTGAGTGATTTGTCTGCTCTCTCTGTGGCTCCGTCATGTCTCCAGATCCAAGGAGATGGCAGCTCAGCGGTGCTGCGCCCGAACCCGGTTTTTATGCCAAAGGTGATCACAAGCTCGTTTAGATCGATAGTGAGAACCTTGGATGGCTTCTTTCCTCCTCCTCACGCGTCAGAAGAAGAAGCCACATCTCATCTCCTCTGTCCCGTGCGCGCGCTGGCATGCTATGTTGCACGCACGGCTGCTTTACGCAAATCCCAGCGTCTATTTGTGCATTATAGAGAGCGCTCAATGGGGCAGCCTCTATCTGCACAGCGCCTGTCACACTGGCTGTGTGATGCCGTGTCACACTGGCTGTGTGAGGCCGTGTCACAGGTGTATGTTTCCTCTGGGTTGGATCCCCCGGAAAACATTAAAGCGCACAGCACCAGGAGAATATCAACTTCTACGGCGTTGCACGGAGGAATGACAGTGGAAGACATTTGCATTGCTGCATCTTGGTCTTCCCCCTGTTCTTTTATTCGTTTGTATTTGAGGGATGTCTCCCAGTCATCTCTGACACATTCAGTACTGAATAGCCTGCCAGAATGAGTAATGTCGGGGGTTTTTCAATTGCAGGCCCTCTCTCCTGCCTGTCGGCACTGAGAGAGCGCTTTTTTGTTCCCCCTCTCTTGATCGTTCCTAAACAAGGGAGACTCGATCTCTACTTTTTAGAAACGACAGGTAGCCCGAGTAAGCCTACCTTCGTTCCTTGATGGAGAAATATTAATTTTTTAATGATATTTTCCCTGGGAAGGTGATGCCCCATTTACACACGGCGAAATGGACATGGGTTATTAACTGAGTAGGTGTGTTTTGTGCTTCTGGTAATGGACGGAACCAGTGGGGCGTAGACTACATCCTGCTTCGCCCTTAACCCAATAGTGATAGCCTTAGAGGGCGAAGCCTTATACGATATAGAACTGGGGTTACGTAATGTAACCCAGCTTCTATGAGTATAGGCGCAGCCCTCTAAGGTTCGGGCCCCACTGGTTCCGCGAATAGCTGAAGAAAAGCTGTTGGAGTGGATTGTAAGGCCTACTTCCTATTTATATGGAAGTGAGCCTGGAGGTGGGGCCCACGTCATAGGTGGGCGTGGAATAAGTCTGTCAGTGCTGCACACGTGCAGTGGGGGATTACCCAATAGCGATAGCCTTAGAGGGCTGCGCCTATTCTCATAGAAGCTGGGTTACATCACGTAACCCCAGTTATTTATTTTGGTCTCTCGGCTCTCATGTCTATTGGCTTCTTAAAAACAGCAGGGATAAGCTGTTGAACTGTCTTTTGCCGGGCTCCGGTGATTGGCAAATATGGGTGATGCCTTATGATATGATTTAGCATGTTTGGCGTGTGTGACATCAGCATACCGCACCGCTATCGAACACCGCCGACACACCGTCCTCGTCCGATCCACCACTCGCACTCCATCGTTATTGTAGTCCACAGGGAACCCAAAATGTTCCCACACAGCTGATTTAAAAGAAGCAGGTGGGTTCTAGCTCCTGTTTGTTATCTGAAATCGCCATACTAACTTTTCTTCTTCTTGTATTTTGTTCATTTTGTTGTTGTGTTTCTTCTTGTTCTTCATTTGTTGTTTTAGGGCGGCTGGCAAACAGCTTTTAGGCGCAATACCGCCCCCTGGATTATATATAGTGAAGTGGATACTGCCCTGAATGACTTTTTCCCACTCGTAAAAAAAAAAAGGGATATTCGTCGTTTGACTGCATGTGCCGAACCGTGACGGTACGGGACGAATACGGATACCGTTACACCCCTATAAATAACTCAATCCTACGCTTTTTGAGCCAAATACGCAACTGTGTGTGTTAATAATTGCATGTTTTCACTGCTCCTAGGATATGCGGGTTCGGGTCGGTTTGCAGATCTTGTGCCGACGGGTCGGGTCAGTTTGCGGAACTGATCGGCAATATGGCGAGGCGGGTTCGGAATTGCATGTTGCGGGGCGGGAGCGGGTCTTGAAAATCAGACCTGTGCAGGACTCTGGCGGGGATGCAATGTAGACAGGAATAAACACAGATCATCCTCTGGCTGCAGCCTTTACCGGTACTTGCTTTTGATCAAAGTCAATGCGGAAAACCTGCACTCACACAGGTAGGTGAGGTGAAGGGAATGAGCACTTTTACAACCTTTTTGGCGAGGTGGGGGAACTCGGTCTCCACAGACAGCCAAAAGTGTGCAAGTGACACTTTACTCATCTTGTTCTCGTAATTGTTTTCTAATGCTTTCTCCCTGAAGCTCTCTGGCGCCCCCCCCAGGGAGGCACGCCTCACACTTTGAAAACCACTGATCTAGTTCAACATAGTAACTGACACCTGTTTCTTTCTCTGTTCCCGTTTATCCACAGGATATATGAAACCTCATGTACATGTGAAATTCTCCACAGAACTCCCCACATACATCGCCTAAACTCTGGACTGGATTACCACTCCAGCTGCGTCATGGATATTTTTTAACATTCTGGACACAATGGTTTTGAGCTTTATACCTCTGCATGTTGGACTCTGCTGACACATACTGTGCTCTGTTCAAACCTGAGGAAACTGTGTACAGGTTTTTCATTCTCCTTCGACATGTGTCTGATAAATTAAACATTTTCCCATTTATTTATACAAGTCAGATACATAATTCAGAGGGAACGGCAGCATGAACTAGAGAGGATAACAAATTAATTGAACAACAATATTTTGGTTTGCTGTTCTATGAAGCTATCAGCAGTAATGTATTATTTATTCATATGAATTGATGAAGTGAATTACACATTTATTTTGTAAATCATGACCGTCTGTTATAAATGTGTGTATTTTAATAACAAATGTCATACTAAACAGAAATGCTGTTGTAAAATGTGAATAGGGTACTTTAAAGCTTTTTGGTCCATTGTCTCTTGGGAAGCTGATTTATGGCACAATACACATTTTCTACTGAAATCTACTGGGTTTGGTTTTTCTGGTTTTATTTAACGTTTGCTGTTAATCTAATGCTTATGGTACTATTTACGATACATACAACTTTGTAAAATGTTTCGTGCTTCGGAATAGGAGATTTCTCATTACCAACGCTACACCTTCAGACTGCAAGTGATCCCTACTGTTAAAACTATTACAATACCTATTACACCTTCTAGGAACGGAAGAAGAGGACTATCCCACAAAGAAAGTGCTCGAAGTGGCCACACCCCAATCACAGCCAACCTCACCACTGGAGGCAGAGTTCTATTTATCAAAGCTAAGATTTAAGCATAGTGCTGGAAATAAGATACTTTGTGGGAGAATCCAAAGAACATGGCAGCGAGAAAGAGAGAGAGAGACAAAGAGAAAGTGGTACGGATAGAGATGGTAGAGTGCTTTTTGGGGCCACGATGCATTACGAGTGTTGTACTGGATTGGATGGAATAAGTTGACTTCCTGAATACTTAATGTGGCCAGTCAAGCTCAAGGCCGGCTAAGGTTGGTGACACATTTAGGCTAATGTCCTGACTCGCTCTCAAGTAGCACCCGTCTCCATCCCGGCTCATTATACCGCGCTGTAGGAGCGGGAGAAGTAGAGCGCAGATGCTACCAGGCTACATGGATGGTTAGTTTGTTCAGAGGAATGGGAAGCCCTGCCGTTTTCTGTGTGTGAAATCTGACAGATGTAAATGCCTGATTGATGTCTTTCAAATCTTCTGAGGCAACCTTTCCATATTAGTTTTTCCCCCTTTATTACATTTTGGATGGAAAAATACAGACGTGTGGTTCTGTCAACTTTGGATGATTTTTTTTCACAATTGTACAGACATAGCTGTACATGAATTGCCACCATGGATTCACCTACAATACAATCAATAGAATGTACAGAAAAGCAACGATTAGACACTTAAGGTGTTTTCACAAGTCATAGTCTTTTCAGCAAGTCCAGATCAAAGTAATATTTATACTTTTATATTGTTTTCTATTTAGCGAGCTATGGTTTCATAGTGCATAATCATTCCATCATTCTATTTGGTCAGAAATGTGGCAGTAGAATATAGTAAAACCACCAGCCGGAGATAACACCAACAGAGCAACATGGAAGATGAACATTCCAAGGAAACATTTGGTCCTGCTTTCGTGTTCCCACCAAACACATTTGGAAAGTGTTCAAAAACCCCTGTAGTTAAAGCTCCAAGTTCTCTCTAACTCATTACAACCTGTTGGTAAGCCATGTCGTTTTGGATCCAAAACAGTCCTCTTCGTTTTGGTTTACTTGGTGATATTCAGTCATGTTCTCAATGGAATCAAAATACATTAGGGTTTGCTTGGAATCGTACTCGAAGGCAGACAGAAACTACTGTTCTAAGACTTTTTCAGAGAGTTGGTCCAGGATTGCTTTTTTTGGTCCAAACTAGAGTACTTTATTCAGAAACTGCCTAAACTAACTTAAATGCAAAGCTGCATCTTCCTGGTAGAAGTAAACCTAGCAGCGATTAATTTTAGATAGGACTCATATGAATGAATATTCATATGGTAGAGGTAGGTCAAGGAGTGTGTAGGGAAATATATTGTTAAAGTAATTGGTAGTCGGTGGATTGCTTACAAATTTGGACGACCAACCAGAGAATATTGGTATCCAAATCTGTGGAATGCAGAAACTCGGAGGGACCTTAAGGCTCCAGGTTCACGGTGTACCAATTAGTTTCTGATAATATTTAGTGTTCAAATATGTTTGTTTATGCTGTATAGCATATACTTTAGTATAGTATTCATTTACATTGAAATGATGAGGACATTAAGGGAATATTTCCATCATTACCTAGTGTTAAGGCCAAATCTTGGAAAGGGGTTCTGTTTGAGTCTTTCCTCCGTGAATTCGGTGGTATCGTGCCACATGGAACATTTTTCACGTTACCAATTACTGACTACAATGTTATTTCCGCCATGGTTGCTTGATTTCGCAATGCTAGCTAACAAGCAAGCTATGTAGGAAGTGTTGGTTGCCCACAGTGGCTAGCTAACAGCTGTTGGCAGCCACTTTGGTTCAGGTATCTTCTGGTAACAAGATTAGAAGCAGTTCATTTCCAGAGTGATCTGCACTTTTGAATTAAAGTGTATATTGCTAGTTAAAGTTGTATTCAACAGAAAGGGGTACAATCAGCTTTTCCTCCAGTGTAGTCAAGTTGACCCTAACCTTAAAGCCCCTGTCACACTGTCCCGAAATTGACACCCGATGGACACACGATAAAGGAAATGTTCAAATTCGGCTGTGATCGTAGCAACATCGGGCCATTCGTGAGGGCATCTAAGCCATCGTATGACCGCCGGTGGAATTTCTCAGGCTCCGGCAGCAACTTCGTGAGCGGCAACTTCGTAAGGCACTCATGAGGGCATCTTGTCAAATCGTGTCATCTTCGTGTTATCATCGGTGCATTCACCCTCACTCTGATCGGGGCGAATGCCCGATGGCACCGATGATAACAAGATGCCCTCACGATGGCCTTACGAAGGGAAACATTTACACACAAATTCAACACGAAATTGAACCTTCGGCAATTTTTTGGCATGCCAAAGATTTTGCCTCCGCTCACGAAGTTGCTGCCGGAGCCTGAGAAACTCCACCGGCGGTCATACGAAGGCTTAAGATGCCCTCACGAATGGCCCGATGTTGCTATGATCACAGCCGAATTTGAACATTTCCTTTATCGTGTGTCCATCGGGTTGTTTTATTGCAAAACAAAATCATGTAAATATATTATTGACCTGCAAGGTCTACCTCGGTACTTTTAGCCAGATGTTTTTAATCCACTTACCAGGTCTTTTACCAGATGTTGTGGGACACAACCTCGGACAGCTTGTTGCACAACTGTTGAGACTTTGAAAAGTGGATGGTGCCCCTTGCATCTGTTGAGTCTCTGTTCTCTCAGTCCTTAGGTGTGGATGGGGCATGTTATGTCAAGACACTACCGGTGTGCATCACCCTCTATTTAAGAGGTTGACCCTTTTTTAGATGAAGCGTTACTATTTCAAAATGTAATGTTAAAAGGATGTTGGTAACAACTCTGCTGCCATTTTCATTTTTATTGTAGCTGTGCGTTTACCATCTTCCATGTTGCAGGACATAATTTGCACTAAGCCTACTGTATGAGGTGCAGACCCGGCGCCAGAACAAATCTAAAGGGAGGGCATGTGATGTTCATGGGAGGGCACACAAAACCGTCACGTGCTGCGGGTCTGTGGCACAATATATATCAAACAGCAAGGCCAACGGCATTGCGCAAAGACGCACACTTATTGCAAATACATACACAAATAAAGGGCAACACAGAAACCACTTTTGAAACATTGTGTGCGTGGCAGCACAGACACTGGTAAATCACGAGCAAGGCACACTGGTTAAGGATGGTAGCTTCCTCATCGCTGCACCCGGAGAGAAATAGTAGAGACGGAGACGATGAACTGCTGTTAGTTCTATTATGGCATTGTGCATGTCGTGAGAGGTGTATGTTGCTGTGTGGGGAATGCTTTCCATTATTTAGGCCAACTCTGCATCTTTGTTCAGCGTATACTCAAACAGCGATAGGAAGAGCCCACTGCCTGACTCGGACATGCTGTGGAGTTAATCGTGGTCACCTCTGAGGGAGTTGGTTGACAGCTAAAAAACTATAATATCAACGACAGCTAAAACATAATAACGGCTCCGTGCCAGCTGATCTGCACCAAAGTACTAATTTCCTTATTTGTTTCCTCGCGTATCTGTCTCTCTCTCCACAAACTCTCACATGAAATGTGTTTTTTTGATGCGGCATGCCTTAGCAGTCCTGTATCAGTCTGTAATGCGTGTTTCCAGTGGCAAAAACCTTTGACAGTAAAAGCCGCATCAGATGAAGACGTATTTACTTTAAACTGTCTACAGGGGAAATAAAAGGCTGCGTCTGCTTTTAACGAATCTTCAAGCCATGGTCTGTTGTTGTACCATGCAGCGGCAAAAGTGCGCTTCTTTCCTGAAAACAATCTCCTTGGATAACGATCCATTTTCACCTGGTTGGGTTTATTAACCCCAAGATCATCTGGGGCTGTTGGTCTTTGAGCGGTTGCTGGCCCAATAGTACCTGTTGATGTGCTGCGAGGTAGCGTCTGTAGTGGAGGCACCGGCACGGAGGAGGAGGATGCTGGCGGGTGTGGTTCAGGGTGTGGCAACGCAGGTGGTGATGGTAGGGGCACAAGGAGCTGTGCCTCGGAGGACCGCGTTGGTGGCGGCCGCCTTGATGAGTCAAGGATTGGGCTCGCTAACTCAGCCCCGGGGTTTGCCGAGGCGTGCTGCTGCAACGGCAGGTGCAGGGTCGCCAGCAGCGCCATCGGCTGCCGTTCTTTCAGCGCTATTTCGTTTTAATAAATCCTTAGACCTTTTAAGCCAATTTCTGATGTCCATTTTGTAATTCAAACAGAAATGGAAGTCTACCGAATGCACAATAAACAAATCCAGAATAGGCGGCAGAGTGTGACGCTGTGATTGGTCTAAATGTGGACGAATCACAAATCACAACAGACACATGCATTTATTTTACGTAGCCTGCGATTTTTTTGTTTTAGTTACTATCTGACATCACATACATCGTAGCATAAAAGTTCACAGTTTATTTATAATAAAAAAAATGTTTTTTTAATTTGTATAAATAATAAAAATCGTGTTTATTGGGGTAGGGCAAGAATGTCAAATGGGAGGGCCTGGCCACGGCGCCGGGCATGATGAGGTGATTTATCTTGTCCCATGTATAAGGGTCATTTTACATGCTGGTGGTTGGATTTTTGTAAATTAGCAACATCTCTGTAACATTTAGTAATATAGCAATACATAATGATTGGATTTTTTTTATGCTTGAAGATGTATCTTAATGTTTTGCAAAATAAGGGTGTATGTACCGATTGAGTTCACTTTCAGATTAAAAAAATGGGTGTGGCTTTGATTTCAACAGCTTGAGGAAGACGTACCGTAGCCTGCATCCCCATGGTCAGAATCAACTGCAGTACAATTCCAAACTTTAACCCGATGGGAAAGAAATGACAATATAAGGAGGTCCGTCATGATAAAAGCAACTTCTGTCTCTGGGGTTCATTGGGAGGACAAAGGTTGAAACAGGAAGTCCTCCTGGTTAGGAGCTGTGATGTAGTTGTAGACTAGCTTTGAACCACTCTGCCTCCCTCTCTCCCTCTGTCTTTCTCTCAATCTCCTCCTCCCCGCAGAATTAGAAAGATTATTATTTTTGTAGAGAAATATGAATAACGATAAAAAAAACGAGTTTTATTACTGTACAGCTTTTGTATAAGAACAGACGGTAAGGTGTTACAGTGTTTTTGTTTGACCTCAACTGTGCTGTGTGTAATTGTTTTATGCATTTATAATCATATTTATTAAATGGAAAGAAGTCTGTTAACTGTGTTCTCATTTTCTTACAATATTTGTAAAGAAATACTATGTATTTGAGGAAGTAATATTCAACCTATAAAGACAATAAAACAAGCATGTGTTAGTTTTTTCTTCTACACACGTATGAACATTTATCTACACATGGTTTTGACATTTGCAAAGATTTAAGAATATAATTGGGGCTCAACTCATCGTTTACTGCTTTCAATTGCATACCATTGTGATCCCTAGGCAATGGCACCTGTGCCAGCTGTGTTACTAAAGATATTACATATGATTGAATTACACAAACATAAGTATACCTTAGACTCAGAGCTAAGGTTAACCCAGTAATGCAATGTTACCAGAGATCCAACACTTCACTATGTAGCCTTTTCTGTCCGAACACTCAAAGGCCTTCCAATTCGAAGAAAAATATTGTGCTTTACAATACTAAGGATAAAATAAATAAACACTTGCATTAAGGTAAGATCACAGAAAATGGAGACAACAGAGCTACATTGATGAAGAGCAATCAGCTTCATTAACAAAATATGAGATAATTCAGTGTTACAGACCTGAAATCTAAAGAGAAAGTAAATACATCACTGCAACTTATAAAGACAATTGTAATCCTAGTTCAACCATTGCCAGCTTTTGTCAAGTATGTAAAGTCATACAATAGATTTGTTTTTCGGCTTGTAAATGGTTCCTTTTCACTGATCATCTTGATTACATCTCAACTGTTCTCTGTGATTATACCAATCAGTGTAATAAGGTAGGTGTTTACATGGTTCACGTTTCTCATCAGACACAAATTATGGCCATGATTTAACATCTGCAACTACATGGTGTAAGTTAAAAGTCAGAGCATCAAAAGCATCAGCAGACTGTTTTGAGGTGCATAGTAGGCTAGGCGCATTTCCACTGCAGCGCGTAGCACGGTTTAAGCATGCCGTGCCAAACCCGGCCCGTTTTTTGTTGCGTTTCCACTAGGGGTGTTCCGGCTAACGGGTACAGTGTAAAAACTGTTGCTTTGGTAAAACTTAAAAAATATGTGTAAAGTGGATCCAAGCAATTTTAAAGGTGGGGTAGGTAAGTTTCAGAAACCAGCTCGAGTGCACTACAATTTGAAAGTACACAGCCGAAAAGAATCCGCCCCTTCCTTCAGACTTCCTTACAGAGCACCTCCTCCAACACACATGAACGCGCACATGACGTCAGCAGACTGGTGAAAGTGGCCGCCTGTTGCTGGCGAGTCATTGAAGTACAGCTGCAATGCACGCCCAATGACGGCACGAGATACATTTGTGCGTGCACGAGATGGAAGGCTGACAGACAGGGCGGCAATCCAATCCACCCAGCTAAACGGATTGGTCGTGCTTTTACAGTATTACGGCTTCCACAGATGACATTTCTTTATGGATTTTTTGTCAAAGCACTTAAGATATTAATTGCTATCGGGATGTTAAGAGCATTCCATGGAATATAACAAAAAGTGTATCTCGAGCCGGTTTCTGAAACTTACCTACCCCACCTTTAAGAGTTTAGTCAACTTTTAAAATGTTTGAGTTGGTGAAACGGACCTTTTTTTGTTTTCCTCTACTCAAGAATGTGTTACTTTGCTAAAACTTAAAAAATATGTGTCAAGTGGTTCCAAGCAATTATAGGAGTTAGGTAAACTCACTAATGTGATTTTTTCTGCATGTGAAAAGATGAGTTGAGCCTTCAATTAAAAGCTAAGATGTGTGTAACCAATGCAGATAACAATCTGCTAAGAACCACATAAGACAAGAATAAATAAAACACAATTGAGTTGTCGGAACCT